TAAATAGGCCCACTTTTGCACAGGCTAGCATTCACTTCTAGCCTTGCAAGGTGAGCGCATGAGTCTGAATAAACTTGGCTAATACCTAAGTTCTTTCTCTGATTGTAATTAACTGAGCAAGGCTGTTCCTTCCTTATAATTCGAGCTTGACTTATAGAACATCTCGCGCTATAAGAAACTTGGGCCGAATTATATCGTATCCAAGAAAGACTTTAGCTCTGCTTATGGGAAAATTCACACCATAAGAAACTAGGACATTGTCTGACTTTCCTTGAAAAATTGTACTTATTTATATATATTTGATTTATTTATTATTATTAGAGTACATTTGATTGATTTATTTATTTTATTGACAAGTAGAGTAAAATTATTGGAAACAAATTCCTACTCATTAGCTAGATACGAGAGTTCGAATTATTATTTATAAGTGATACGAACATCACAAAGTGTTGTTGTGCACACTTGATATTAAAGACCACAACAGTAAACATAGCCTGTTAGTTAGCTTGCGAAGGCCCGCCGCGGCGAAAAATTGTAAACAGTAGCTGTAAGTGCGTGCGAGTGCGACTGAACGATTCTTAGATAAGCGTAAACACCAATAAGTTTTGAAAGTTGCCGCAAATCAATAATATTGTACCCGTTGGCCCGGGCAAAACTAACACCGGCAACATTCAAACAAAACAAAATCAAATTGATAGTTTTATTCGATATCGTGTCGTGTCTTAACATAAAAATAATTTTTAAATATTGTTAGCTGCGGTTATTGGTGGTTACGCGCAACGCTCGTTATAATATTTTAGATACTAACCAACACAGCCGCGCTAACAAATAGTTAGTGCGCCTGATAGGCAGGATCATTATATTGCGCAATAACGAGCGAAGAGTCTTTCGGCAAATACACTATTAAACGCCCTTGATCGAGCCTAGTTCGGCTAATAAAATCTAAATTTTTACTTGCGTACGGATTTTTAATACAATACTCGCACTCGCACCACGCGTAGCAAACGTGTAAATTTTGCGTGAAATTAGCCGTAAGATAACTAACAGAAGAAAATAGACTGCACTCAAAAAGAGGTAGAAAACTGGGTGTTGACGCTCCAGGAGGAGGAAATCAACGAGTAGCTCGAACACCTGGAGCTTAAAACAAGCGGGATCAAGCTCTCGAGAGCTGGACGACTGCAAAACTGGTTGCTAGGCTACTACTCTGCGGCAGATTTCGCATAAGTCATCAACCAGCACAGCAATCCGGCAAAAAGGGTAGCCCTACGCTCGGAACTGATAGTGTCCTTATGCGCGGAACACAAAGCAATAAGACACATAACAATCATTTTTAATGCTTGTCTCCGAATTTGCTATTTCCCACTTATATGGAAAAAAGCAGAAGTCAATGTTATCCCCAAACCAAGTAAAAATTTGGAACAAGTCACAGCTTATAGACCTATCAGTCTGCTATCAGTTCTTTCGAAAATCTTTGAAAAAGTCATCCTCACCAGAATGAACAAATATATAGAAGAAAAAAATTGATACCGGATCATCAATTCGGATTCCGGCAGAACTATTCCACAATTAAGCAGATAAATCAAATAGTAGTGCAGATCAGAAAAGCGTTAGAGGACAGAAAATTTTGCTCAGCAGTATTTCTTGACATTTAGCAGGCTTTTGATAGAGTCTGGCACGACGGACTAGCACACAAGATCAAAGAGGTATTTCCAATCAACCTAGCAAAGTTGCTACAATCCTACCTAACTAACATTTCTGAGTAAAGGAGACATTTCAGAGTAAAGGTAGGAGATGATTTCACGGATGATCTGCCAGTCAAAGCAGGTGTTCCACAAGGTAGCGTTTTAGGCCCTGTACTCTACACTATTTACACAGCGGACATCCCTGTTATGCAAAACATCATAACAGGAACATACGCGGATGATACAGCACTGCTGACCTCACATGAGGATGGAGAGGTGGCATCCCGCACTCTCTAGACATATCTCAACGAGATACAAACCTGGTTGAACACTTGGAGAATAAGAGTGAATGAGGACAAATGTAATCATGTCACATTCACTCTTAAAAAGAAAAAATACCCACTGGTCTTCCTGAACGGTAAAAGTGTTCCACAAAGTGAGCATGCAAAATATCTGGGAATGCACCTGGATCGAAGAATGAACTGGAGGGTACACATATGGACAAAAAGAAAACAGCTTAACTTGAAGCTAAGGAAAATGTACTGGTTGATAGGGAGAAATTCTCAACTAGCCCTCGATAATAAACTACTGCTATACAAGTCAATTCTTAAACCGGTATGGACTTATGGAATACAACTTTGGGGCACGGCTTCCAATTCAAATGTGGACATCCTGGAAAGATTCCAATCAAAGGCCCTAAGGACCATTGTGGACGCACCTTGGTTCATTCCCAATGAAATAATAAGAAGGGACACAATGATATCTACAGTTAAGGAGGAAGTGGGAGTGTTCTTCAACAGGTACAAAACTAGACTGCAGGCTCATCCTAACCCGTTGGCAGCCCGCATACTACACCAATACATTCGCAACTCTCGACTCAAGAAACATAAACAATTAGTATAGATTTTGTTTTTTTCCGTAATAAGTCATGTAATTTGATCATCTAATCCAGGTACGAGCATTCCAATGGGAAGCTCGACTTCTCCAAATGTTTTCTTTTTTCTATAGTGTCATACAATTTACCAAATGCATTTTTTTGCAGATTGTAAATATAAATAGGAGTAATAAAAAAAAAAAGGAAAAAAAATTAATGTTGTGAATAGTTATTAATTTTATAATATTATTAACACTATATTTTATAATTTTCTGAGATCAGTAATAACTTTTAAATTAGATAAAAATGGCAAAAAACCTCCTTTTCTCATTTTAAATGGTGTTTGCAATTTAGAGATCTCGTATGATTTTTTTGGGGATTATTAGTCATACAAGCTTCTAGAAATTGTAACGGGGTGATTGCTCCGCGTTTTTATTTCGATTATTTATTCGCGCGATTGCATCAAAGAGCGCGCGGTGCTGTCGAAACGTTCAAATTCGTTAATCGGAGAGCAGGAGGGGACGGGAGTCAGTCAACCAACTTGCTACTAATGAGAAATAATAACAGCTAAACTATAATCAGTATCACATGCGAGTTAGTTTATTTCCCTATTCTCTACAGTATACTTGGCTCGCGTGTTTATGTTTACGAAACACGCGCGCGTCAATAACATGCAGCGTCGGAGCGATCGTAGCTCTTTGTTCGCCGGGCTAGCACATGCACGCTTCCGATTCTTACAGAGTACGAGGTATTAGCAATTAGTTCCGCGCAATCGTGAGAAAAATAAAGCAAAGTTGCGACATAAAGCTGGCCAGTTTACCTTCGTATCGGTCGCATAACTCGCAAGGGAAAAGGAGACAAGTTTGTTAACGTTAGTCCTTCACAAGAACAATCTGCTCTCGGTTTCGCCCTCGATGGTGAAACACTCAATTCACGCTCACTCACACACACACTCGCTACTACAGTGATGAAAACAGTTCTCGCGAACTCGGAGGTGTCACTTCTTATCGTGTGGAAAATCGGCTGGCTCACTTCTTACTTCCCACGGAAACTTTGGCGGAAAACTCTAGCTTGTTGTTAGGCTGCTGTACGCTCGGATAACGTATTCTTGACTAGTTCATTTATATTCGTGCGCGTTCCGTTTTGTCTCGTACCGAATTCCCTTATTCCACATTTTCCCCAACCAGTAGGTGCTGCCCTCGCAGGCCGCCGTATGGTTGAGGTGATAGCGCTACTATGACGTTTACTGTCACAAGATATAAAATTTGTAGATTTTGTACGTACAAAAAAAATGATATCAGCAAGATTAAAATTTAAGTAAATAATTTTTAATGTAAAAACGCAGTTACCGAAAAGTTCAATTTTTTGCATTAAACCTACATAAATGAGTTATTTTTGGTTACAGACATATTGTGAATGATCTCTATAATACTAGTCAATTATTGAAAGTAAACGATAATTTTTTTATGAGTTGGGATCTTTATAAAGTCAAAAATATCCCCGAAAATGTCTAAAAGACGCTAAAAATTGGTTTTTTGTGTTTTCAACTGGGTTCGACCAATTTTTAATTTCTGAAAAAGTACATGGTGATAGCTCTACTTAATTTACAACATATATAATTTTTTTGGGGATGAGTATATTTTTGTTTTTCTTAAAATATTAAAATGAATATAACTATTCAAATTTGTCTTCAAAAAATTTTTTGCCAACACTATCATGTAGGGCCCAAAAAACTTTTCATTTGAAAAAAAGAAGTGTCTACGATTAAAATTGAGAGAGTTATGAAAAAAAAACAATTTTCTTGTTTTAGGACTTTTTGAGGTTCAGGGTTAATATTTTGGGCTAAAACTGTCAGAATCGTCATATTTTTTTATGCGGAATATATACCATATTTATTTTTTCGATATCATTCGCAATACTTTTAACTATCTTATTCGGCTATGCCCGTTGTTAATTTTTCTATTTGCTTCGTGCTTTCGCGCTCGTTTTAAGTTCCGCAAAACGGTTACGCACTAGGACCAAGCATACTAAAATGAGATCGAGACGTCGGTTAGCCTCGTATCTAGGGATGATCCTTCATTAACGGTATTAAATTATTTATTTAACCGATATTTACAGTGTTTATATAAACACAATAAAATATAAATTATACTTTTGGAGAGGAAAACATAATGATCTTTCTATTCATTTTAATTAAAATATGTACAATATATATTGTATGTTAGAAGATAAATTTTTCATCTTATAAAAAATAAATAGTCTAATACAAATCCTTTAGTTTTTAAAAAGTTGTATAATTAAAAAATGTTTTCTCTTTACAAATACACCTTTATAATAATTATTATTTGGAGATGACAATTTGGAAATAAACGTATTAATTCAGTAGTTCTGACATTAACCAGATGAAATATATTCGTCATTTATACATTTTTCTGTATTTTCAGCTTGAAGAACTTCGAAAAGGTAGTAAAGAATGAGAGAAATTTCACATAGTATATGGAAACAGAAGAGATCTACTCAACTATCCACTAATTAATCTTATCCCAACGATTATTTCCTCAGCAATGGTTTTGTTTATTTCAAGTTCTATTGCAGAAAGTATCAACTCTTTACATTTTTACAATTGGTGATACAAATATTAACAGAATATAGGTATTTTAATAATGTGTAACGAAAAATAAAAAAATTATCATGTACGTTGAAATCTTCTAGTTATTTATTAATATTGTAACGAATACATTTTCATTATTTTAGGAAGAGCGAACGTGAGAGAGAGGAAGAGAGAGAGAGAGAGAGAAACAGGCCGAAAATTAGAGAGCGCACGGAGCAAAAGTATGCGTGTACGTGACGGTGCCCTACTAAAATAAGTTTATTAAAAAGAATTAAATGGCATTCAAAATCGTATTAAACCGTATTACTAAATCCATTTCTATACGATTTATGAATACCATTTTATTGTTTTGTAAGTTTTTTTAATAAACCTTTTTTAACAGGGTAGTTTTAACCAGCAAGCTGGAAAGGAATGTCAAGAAAAATCTGCTTTTTACCGTCTTGTTTTACTATTTTTCTGTGTTTGTTGTTTGCTCACCGAACAGTTTTATTTTGTTTGTTGACGTGATTCATCTCGTGAATTCTTCTTTGTTACGTGTGCATCACAACCGCTATTAGCTCGTTTTTGACTTTATTTTATTTCTCTCTCTCTCTCTCTCTCTCTCACTCTTGTTTTCTTTCTTTCTCACTCATCGAAATCAACAAGTAAGATCGTTTCTTGATATCAATACTATTACGTACGCCTAAAATTCTCGGCCGAGATTTATTGTATGTTGTTGGTCGCTAAATGGTGAAATAAAATTCGTACCTTTTATTCTATATCATGTCATGCTTTATTTTTGGATGCTTGATTTACGTGAGTCCCCTCGCCTCTCACGATCGGGGTGCTTGATTAGAGTGAGTCCCCTCACCTCTCACGATCGGGGTGCTTGATTAGAGTGAATCCCCATGCCAATATTCAAAATGATGTCCACTCATTTTCCGACAATGAGCCAAACGATGATAAAAAACATTTATCGCATTTTGAACGATCGTGGTAGGATAATTCCTAGAGGGCGCATTCATCACTCTGTCTCTGATTTTGAAAGACTTTTTTGAGCTTTATTAAAACTTTTTTTTTAATTTCAAAAATCGTATTAATAATGCTAAATAAAATAATGTAAAGGATACTACTCTAAGTTCTTTCATTTTTCCAAAAAAATTTCAAAAACGAAATGAGAAACCTTGGATAGTAAAAGCCCCCCCTCCTCCTACTCTTCTTCGTCCTCCCAAGCTAAAATTTTGGAAAAAAATTTTACACAGTTACAGTCACCACATCCATGTCCGAAAAAAATACTTTTTTAACATTTTTGAACAAGAAGATTATTTGAATATTAAAGAAAGCACGTTTTTTATGTAAAAACAATTTTTCACACAACTTTTAAATAACTTTTTTTTAATAAACTTATTTACATTTTTTTATGATTTTACAACACTCAATATTTTTGAGATCTCCGACGCATTTATTTCTATTTCTGAAATTCACACAAGCTTGTGTAAGTTTGTAGAAAATAGTAGCAAAAAAATTAACCCTCATTAACATTGAAATTTCATATCTAAATTTCAAATTAAAAAATTTTTTTAAAATTTTATAAATTAAACCAAAAATGAACAGACTAAGTGAAAGAGAAAGAATATCGCTTCTTATGATGCGAGGCTGGGGTGCGGTAAATCGGTCGTACAGGGAAGTACAACATCTTTTTAACGAAACATTTAGAGGTGGGCAAAATGCTGTACGAATTTCATCATCAACCGTTGAACGAACTGTTTAACGGCTTAATCAAACAGGCAATGTATACCTAAATCAGGGAGACCAAAAATAGCGACGAATGAGGAAAACTCCTTGGATGAACCAAAAAATAACCCAATCACCCAATAACCCAATGGGAACAGATTTTACTACGTTCACGTCGTTGTTCCTGGGTATCGCAAAATGTAAAAAAATTGACCTTAACATGACCCTTAAGGTTAAATCCAAGATGACAATTGGATTCCTTGTGAAAAGTTACTAAAGAATCTCCTCCAAAATGATAAAAACCTTACACAACGTCAGACCGTCGTGAAGTTTAAATGACCTTGAAATGAACTTGAAGGTCATCTTTGACCTATGACCTGAGTACATGTTTGGACGCAAAATTTCCCGCTCTTTCGAATACCGTTGTCAAAAATAGGGATTCCCATTTGAAAAAAAAAGTTGACTTTGAAATGACCTTGAAGGTCAAGCTCAAGGTCAAAATCAAGGTCACCACTGGATTCCTCGTTCAAAGTTACTACAGGAATGACCTTAATCTCCTCGGAAATAATTATATCTCAAGACTTACTGGGGTGTCCCGGAACTTTTTGGACACCCTGTATATAAGATGTTACTATTTTTATTGCTTACAATCTTTTTGGATAAAAAGATATTAGAAGAAGTAAAAAAATTGCTTAAACAACTGTTTGTCACAGCTGGTCACAGTCTAAAAGCGAATATTTTCTGGCTATTAAATTTTTTTATACACGGTGACCCATTTTAATTGCCGCAGCCGGATTACTCGGAACCTAAGCTAGATAGGGCAAAATGATTCTAATAAAAGTTGTAAAGGGCAAAGGGGGCATCACAATAGGGCTAACGTTTTTGATCTTGAACTTGATCTCCAAGGTTATTTCAAGGTCAAAGTATTTTTTTAATGGGAACCCTTATTTTTGACATCGGATTCGGAAAGAGCGGGAAATTTTACGTCGAAAATGGTATTGAGGAAATTTTTTTCATGACCTTGAGAAGGGAATTTCAAGGTCAAATGCTACGAAATCCTATGATAGCTATTTGCTAGCCTTTTCTCATGAATAGCAACCCCAATATTACAACGAGCTTGAAAATGTTGACCTTGAAAAGGATTTTCCTTACTTTTAGCGTTACCCAGAAACAACGACGTGGACGTAATAAGGTTTATTTCCTTTGGGGTGCTTCTTTCACGTGAGTCCCCTTGTCTCTCACTAACCTCGAAGCAAGTATTCGAAATAACGACCATTTGCTTCAAGACACACTGTCAAACGCCTTTGAAAATGGCGAACGGTGTTCAACAAAGTTTGCCTCGGAATAGCAGCGCATGCTCGACGAATCCTGTCCTGAATATCTGCTCTTGTATTGGGTTGTTGATCAAAAATAGCATTTTTTAAGTATTTTTTTTTGCAGACATATCTATAATTAATAACGTGTGAATAATTACATTATCAAAATTAGTATTTATCTGTAATTCGAGCGCTACTAATTCACATTTTTCACATAAAAGATAAAATAAAAAGAAGTTTTAGTTTAATTTACCAGGACTAACTTTCGACGAGGAATTCGATGGTGACCTTGGATTTGACCTTCAACCTTAATGTTAAGGTCATTTGGAGGTCAACTTTTTTTTTAAATGGAAACCCGTACTTTTGACACCAATTTTATTACTATATTCAGCGTCACCCAGGAACAACGGCGTGGACATAGTAAAATCTGTTCCCTTTGGGGTGCTTATTTTACGTGAATCCCCTTGTCTCTCACGATCGGGGTGCTTGTTTTACGTGAGTCCCCTCGCCTCTCTCGTTTGCTTACTATCATTACAACGATCTACTTTAAATGTTCAAATTGTCCTCCGTTTACTTCCTGATAGTAAGCCAATCGATGATAGAAATCACGAATAGCATTCTCGATTATTTGAGCGGGAATAAGAGCTGATACATCTTCGATTCTCCGCCGAAGGTCATCTAAATTTGCGGGTTTTGTTTGGTACACACGATCCTTCAAATAACTCCAATAAAAATAATCTAGCGGCGTCAAATCGGGTGATCTCGCTGGCCATTCAATTGTGCCCCTTCGCCCTATCCATCGATCAACAGAGGTCCCGTTTAAGTATGTGCGAACGTTTAGTCCGTAGTGGACAGTTGCTCCGTCCTGCTGAAACCACGTCTCATCAAAGTTTTCTGCAGTCATTTCTCTAAACGCAGGAACGATCGATTTTCGAAGCAAAACTTCATAATTTTGAGCATTTAAATTGCCATCAATAAAAAATGGTCCAATAATTTTATTGTTTAGTATTCCGGCCCAAACATTTAGTTTTTCCGGATACTGGGATTTATCTTCTCACAACCAGTGAGGATTTTCAGCCGCCCAATATCTACAATTATGTCTATTTAATGTACCGTCAAGTTGGAAAGTTGCTTTATCTGAAAATGCTATCCTTGATGGGAAATTGTGATCTTCAACTATGCGATCCATCATGTCTTCAGAAAACTCAACACGACGATCGAAATCATCCTCGTTTAACTTGTGAACCAAATTTACTTTAAATGGATGAAAACTTGCTAATTTTAGAACATTGTGTACTGACGATTTACCTATTTCGTGCTCTTGAGCTGCTCTGCGGATAGAAAGATGTGGATTTTCAATGAATGATAACAATACGTCGAGTGATTTTTCTTCATTCGTTGCTGTACTTGGCCTGCCTGCTCTAGGTAAATCTCTGACATGACCATGAAGATTAAATCTTCTAACAGTATTTTGAACAGTCGACATGGCAATGGGAGTTCTATTAACTCTTAATGCTTGATTAAACACAGCCACTACTTCTCTCATAGTTCTCTGCACGTTACCCTAACCTCTCATCATAAGTAGCGATATTCTTTCTCTTTCGGAGAGGCGATCCATTTTGACTTTACGGACTTACTCAAAATACCAGTTCACAACAAACTTTAAATAATAACTTTAAATAATTCAATTAGTTTTTAGCTTTTATTCAAATGTTTTTTTTCTTTTGACAATAAAATTAAAACAACACTAAAAGAATATCCTGTTTTAGAAGATTAAAAAAACGTGTTTTTGGAAAAATTATTTTGAATTTTTATCGATTTATGAGTAAAACGCCTTACAGTTCGAGTTGCCAATTAGCTGGCCCGATACAGCTCGTAATTTTTATGCCAAACAAAAATATCAAGTAATTTCTTTTTTTTCAATATGGTACAATTTTTACTAAAAAATGAAATTTTTTTGTAAAAAAATCTCCAAATTAAAAAAAGAAAAATAATTTTTTAGATAAAATATTAGATTTCCTTCTTTATTTTTAAATTGCAGGATAG